CACCGGCCCCGCGCGGCGGGGGGCGCCCCAGCTTCTGCCGCTCGTATTTGGCGGGAGCCTCGGCGGCTCCACGCTTCGCCACGCTGATAGGCCCAGAGAGCCCCACGTGACCGCGGCCCCGCCAACCCTCGCGAGAACTCCTCCCCCCCTCTCCTGCCGGCTCCAGGAAGTGGGCGGGGGGGAGGGTGAGACTGGACTGCCTCCTATTGGCTGAGGGAGATTGCATGTCATTGGGGCAAACAGCTGCCACCATGCTAGGTCAGGGCAACGATTGTCTGGATGTGTGTTTCACAGGTGAGAGTCTGGTGCTGTACAGGTAGGGGTGGAAGATGCTCTCTTCTGCTCCCTGGTGCTATGGGCCCTGCGCCCCCTGAGTGTGACCCCCCCCCAGGGGAATGACTCTGAGGATGCAAAAACAATGAGGAGTCCTGTGACATCTTCAAGGCTAACAGATGTATTAGGGCATAAAACGACCTAAGTAAAAAGCACTTTGTCAGATGCATTGGGGCTATTTCTACCCGCAAAAGCGTACGCCCAAATAATTCTGTTCATTTTGAAGGTGTCACAGGACTCCTTGTTGTTTTTGCAGATACAGACTAACAGGCTCCTGCTCTGAGACTTGTCTGTGTGTGCAATCTTCCCTGCTGCTGCTTCCCTTGATTGTGCTAGGGGACTTTTTCCTGCAGTGTTCAGCTATCCCCACAGTGACAGAGTACATGTCACCTTGGGACTGGATGCAGAGGTAACATTTCTTGACACCTTAAATGACTGATTCTTGGAGCAGCTGGTTTTGGAATCCACAAAAGGAGATGGAATTCTTGATTTAGTCCTAAATGAAGGGAAGGATCTGGCCTATGAGGTGAATATAGCTTGAACTTTTGGAAATAGTGATCACAATATAATTAAAATTAATATTCTTGTGAGGGGAAAAAAACCTGCAGCAGCCCAATATTATGGCATTTAATTTTAGAAAGGGAAACTGAATAAAATGATGTTAGTTAATCATAAATTAAAAGGTACAGTGCCAAAAGTAAAATCTCTGCAAGCTGCATGGAAACTTTTCAAAGACACCATAATAGAGGCTCAACTTAAATGTATATACCACATTTTAAAAATGTAGTAAGAGAATAAAAAAAAGTTTCACCATGGATTAACAATCAAGTAATAGAAGCAGTGAGAGATTAAAAAAAAGCATTGTTTAAAAAGTGGAAATTAAATCCTAGTGAGGAAAATAGAAAGGAGCATAAACTTTGTCAAAGGAAGTGTAACAATATAAATAGGAAGGCCAAAAACAATTTGACAAATAGCTAGCCAAAAAAACTAAAAAAGTAATAGCATTTTTCGTTTTAAATACATCAGAAGCAGTAAGCCTGCTAAACAACCTGTGGGTCCACTGGATGATTGAGATGCTAAAGGAGCGCTCAGGGACAATAAGGTCATTGCAGAGAAACTAAATGAATTCTTTGCATCAATCTTCATGGCTGACAATGTGAAGCAGATTCCCAAATTTGAGCCATTCTTTTTAGGTGACAAATCTGAGGTACTGCCCCAGATTGAGGTGTCATTAGAGGAGGTTTTAGAACAAATAGATAAACTAAACAGATGGCATTCACCCACAGCAGATGGTATTCATCCAAGAGTTCTAAAAAGAACTCAAATGTGAAATTGTGAAATTAATAACTCTGATTTGTAACCTATCCTTTAAATAATCTTCTGTACCAAATGACTGGAGTGGAACGTTACTGGATAACACTCCTTGCCAGTATAGTATCACCGGGCCAGTGGAGATCACAAGGGGATCTGGTTTTCTACTGGCACAAACCCCCAAAATCTTGCAGCACCAACCCCAAGTTCCTGGGCAGTTATGTAGAGGAGCTCTGCACTGTGAGTGAGTACACATGTACACAAATTATGTAGTATGGTGAACGCAGACTGGACTGTCTGGTGTGTGTAATTGTAGGTGTGTGAATATGAAATTACCTGGAATGAATTTTGCTGGTGTGTTTGGTCTTGTTTACATCAAGCTAATTATTTAATTCTAAGTGTTACTAAATAGTCATATACTCCTTTATCCAGAAGTTTATCTTCTGTTTATTGCTCATAGGAAAGAAGAATTGATTTTTCAGGTCAGTTTTGCCAATGCAGGCTTCTCTGTCCTATAGGCCTCATATTATTGAAAAGGCCACAAAGAACAGAAGTCAGACACGAACAATCAAGGCATCTGCTCACACTTTAATGAGCATTTGCTTAAGAAATCATACGTGGAGTTTAGCCAAAGTTCTAGCATAACGCAGATGCAGCCAGAATCACCGAGAAAAGTGAATACAAGACAACATAAAGAACTCAGAAAACCTTAGAGGTTATTTGGCACTCCTTCGAGTTTAGGAAGGCTTTTCGGGAGCAAAGCAGGTGACTTAAATTGTCAGATAAGCACAGCTTGTGATCCAAATGCAGACGATCCTTTAGTATCGAGTAAGCAGCAATGTATGCTGGGAAATGGGATTTCTGAACCAGTACAGGGAGAATCCTGAAAACTGCAATGAGAGAGTCAAGTAGGAAGAATGCTTCTTGAAGGCACCACCAGTAACTCCCAGTTGAGGTTCCATTTAGATTTAGATTTGCGGCGGTAATATCTGGCTCTGGCACTAAAAGAGCTTTTGTCTCAGTGTCTGAATAGCTACAGTCATGGGTAGAAACAGACTTTTTAGGACATTCACTCTGAAAAATTATTAGTTTAAAAAAATAAATATTGGAAAATTGGCTATTTTTTATATTATAGGCAGGGCTGTTTCACAGGCAAGCCTATTATCCCATTTGTCACCGGGGTCTTAACAAAGACTCTAGTTATCTTACCCATTACAAAGATAGCTTCCGCAATTATCACCTCTAATATCATTAGCTCCCAGACATTTACCTTCCTCCTCCACCGCATCCTGCTTCTGTTCTGAAATTTGATTTGTCCTTTTCATATGTGTTCTTTTTTTTTTAATTGTATCCTTTGGTATATATGATTGTGACTATTTTCTTCCACTATTTGATCTGAGGAAGTGGGTCTGGCCCACGAAAGCTCATCATCTAATAAACCATCTTGTTAGTCTTTAAAGTGCTACATAGTCCTGTATTTTGTTCCCATTATAAGACCCTGTTTGGCTGATAAGTTTACTAAACTTTAAACTTTAAGCACTTGGACTGACGTGTTTTGATTTGGGTGTCATCATTTTATTTATTTATGTACTTATGTATTTATTTCCTAAATTTCTGTCAAGACTGTTAGTCTGGCAAAGTTACAAAGTGACCTGAATTTTTCCACTTAAAGCAGGAATCCAATCGGAACTGTGGCTTGAATCCAGGAATCCACATTATGGCATAAACTACTTATAACCTCTGATTTCACCCAGCATGTCAGGGTGCTGGCGACAGAGTCTTTCCCCATTGTAGAGGGGTCTCAGCCCCCATGCAATGGAGGTGGGAGAAAAATCAATAGGCATAGGAGTGAAGCTGGGTGGCATTGTCCCTTCTTGCTCACGGCAGGTGGCTTCACGTGTGGCAAACCTAAGGGGAGCTACTCATGTTTATTGCTCTGCTATTGGGGTAAAGGCATTAACGCGTACAGGGTCGTCTCTGGAGTAAAAGCTGTCTGGCAAATCCGTGTGTTGCTCAGACTTGGGCCCACCAGAGGGCCTCCCAGGCCTTGCAGTGCAACATTACAGATTGGCTCCGTTCACATCAGGCATCCAGAAGCCCCCCAGACCTGTGAGGAGGCATAATTCCAAGTCCAGAAACTTGTGGAGCAAGAACATGACAGAGGAGACTCATGGAATGAAGCCTGGCAGTGCCGGTGGAGGCATGAATTTTGTATTAGTTTTGTAACATTTGGGAGTGGATGGTGCCTGACTATCTGGAAGGCTCCACCTCCGGCAACTTGGTGGTCTCCCTGTCCATTGCCCCATGCCTATGACTCTAGATATGGTCCGTCTGTCTGGCTGTCCACATGCCTCTCAATTTCTGCTCTGTCTGTCCCTCTGTCTTACAGTCTGGCCTGTCTAGTCCTGTATCTCCTGTACCTGTGCTGGGTAGGGTTGCCAGGTGTCCGGTATTGAACCGGACAGTTTGGTATTTTCGCCTCCTGTCTGGTAAAAAAATTCAGAAAATGCCAGACACCTAAAATGTCCGGTATTTTCCGATTTTTTTCCCCGCCAGGAAGTGAAAATGCCAGGCTGTCTGGCTCAATATGGAGGCAGCCTGGCAACCCTAGTGCTTATCAGGTTCCACAGGGGAGCTGTCCGGCCCCTCGCAGGGAGGCAA